AGCATTTGCTCGGTTCTTTGCAGACAAAGTCGCCTTGATCCGTTCTGGGCTGGACGCCGCATTAAATGCAGTCTCAGAGGATGTAACAAGAGCACCTGCTTGTCCTATTTTGATGGATTCTTTTCAGTTTGTGAAACCCGAGGATGTGGACAAGATACTTGGAGGAATGAGGCCCACCACGTCCATCCTAGACCCCTCCTGGCTTCTGAAGGAGGCCAGAGGGGGATTGGCTGAGTGGGTAACGGTGGTGGTTAATGCCTCCCTTCGGGAAGGCAAAATTCCAGCGTGCTTAAAACAAGCAATTATAAAACCGCTGTTGAAGAAACCATCATTGGACCCCACTAAATTCGACAACTTTCGGCCTGTTTCCAATCTCCCCTTTTTGGGCAAAGTCATGGAAAGCGTGGTGGCCTCACAACTCCAGGTATTCTTGAGAGACACGGATATTCTGGATCCGGCACAGTCTGGCTTCAGACCGGGACATGGTACCGAGACGGTCTTGGTCGCCTTAGTGGATGATCTGCGCCGGGAGCTAGACAGGGGGAGTGTGTCCCTGTTGGTGCTCCTGGACCTCTCAGCGGCCTTTGATACTGTCGACCACAGTATCCTTCTGGGGCGCCTTGCGGAGATGGGCCTTGGGGGCACTGCTCTGCAGTGGCTCCACTCATTCCTGGAGGGACGCACCCAGAAGGTGTTATTGGGGGACTCCTGTTCTGCCCCACAACCTTTGACTTGTGGGGTTCCACAGGGTTCCATACTGTCCCCCATGCTGTTTAATATCTACATGAAGCCGCTGGGTAAGATCATCCGGAGTTTCGGGGTGCGGTGTCATCTGTACGCAGATGATGTCCAACTCTGTCACTCCTTTCCACCTGCTACTAAGGAGGCTGTCGAGGTCCTGAACCGGTGCCTGGCCACTGTGACGGTCTGGATGAGGGCGAACAAACTGAAACTAAATCCAGACAAGACAGAGGTACTCCTGGTCAGTCGCAAGGCCGAACGGGATATAGGGTTACAGCCTGTGCTGGATGGGGTCGCACTCCCCTTGAAGGCGCAGGTTCGCAGCTTGGGTGTGATCCTGGATTCATCGTTGAGCCTGGATCCCCAGGTTTCAGCGGTGACCAGGGGAGCATTTGCACAGCTTCGGCTCGTGCGCCAGCTGCGCCCGTATCTCGGGAAGTCTGACTTGGCCACGGTGGTACACGCTCTGGTCACATCCCGGCTTGACTACTGCAACGCTCTCTACGTGGGGCTGCCCTTGAAGACGGCCCGGAAGCTTCAGCTGGTTCAGCGTGCGGCAGCCATGTTACTAACTGGAGCGGGATACAGGGAGCACACAACACCCTTGTTGTCCCAGCTCCACTGGCTGCCGATTTGCTACCGGGCCCAATTTAAGGTGCTGGTGTTGGCCTACAAAGCCCTGAACGGCTCCGGCCCAAAATACCTTTCAGACCGCATCTTGGCCTATGAGCCCACGAGGACCTTGAGATCGTCTGGGGAGGCCCTTCTCTCGATCCCGCCTGCCTCACAGGCACGCCTGGCGGGGACGAGAGAGAGGGCCTTCTCAGTGGTGGCCCCCCGGTTGTGGAACACTCTCCCTACAGACATCAGGCAGGCGCCCTCTCTTTTGTCCTTCCGAAAAAGCCTCAAGACGTGGCTGTTCGAGAGGGCATTTAATTAAGTGCTATAGTAATGTGGTAAAGACGACTGGAATGGTACAAGGAATACGAGATTGGTCACGATTCTATTACGAGACGAAGCGGATTAGTTAGTGTAATTTTAACTGTTGTATTGTTGTATGGTTAATATGCTGTTGTACTTGTCTTTGTGTGAATTGCCTTTTGTACTGTACACCGCCGTGAGTCGCCCGAGTGGGCTGAGAATGGCGGTTAATAAATGCTCCAAATAAATAAAAAATAAATAAATAAATGTGGAAATCTCCTTCACTAATAAAGACAAACTCTCCTACTGACAAATTTCATCTTTCTAGGTGGAATTTCCTAGCAGAAAAAACCTCAAACTCTAACATGCTGGTGTCTGGCGCCTCCTGGTGTAAAAGCAGATGGAACATTCTTAACCATTCATGCCACATAGAAAGAATTTTCTTTCTGGGAAAAATCCCAGAAATTATTTTTTAAAAGATCTCACGAAAGTATGCTAGACATGGCTATTGTGTACACCAGCTTTCTTAGTAAGTTAAATTACTTGACAGCACATATTCTATTTCTAGAAAAGCTAGCAACATTTTTGATCAATCAGCATTATAAGTTGTTTGTTGTGATTCTTCACTTATTCAAAGGAGCCCCCATGACACAATGGGTTAAATCCTTGTGCCGGCGGGACTGAAGACCGACAGATGGAATGTTCGAATCTGGGGAGAGCACAGATGAGCTCCCTCTGTCAGCTCCAGCTCCCCATGCGGGGACATGAAGGAAGTCTTTCACAAGGATGGTAAAACATCAAAACATATTAGCATCCCCTGGGCAACGTCCTTGCAGACAGCCAATTCTCTCACACCAGAAGCGACTTGCAGTTTCTCAAGTCACTCCGACATGGAAAAAAATGTATTTGAAAGGAACTGCACTCAGATCACCAGGTAACACTCACAATCTGGATGGTTGATTTAGGAACAATAGTATAATTTTAGTCTCATTTTTTTCAGTGTAAATGGTACTGTGAGATTACATAGTTGCCTGCGCTCTTCTGGGCAAGTAGTATGCAAAATGGTGGTCTATGGAGTAGTGTCAGTCCCTGACAAGCTGCCAGGAAAGAAACAATAATAGCACCATGTAATATTTGAAAACATTTCTGTTCCTGGTTTGAAAGTGTTTATTTCCTGTTTAATTGTGCAGTATTTACTTCGAAAGTAGTTATACTCCAGCAACTTTGTTTTCCTGGCTGCCACAAACTAGGTTAAATTGGAGGAGACTCTAGGACAGACATAGGCAAACTTTTTTGCCTTGAGTCCCCATTGTGGGTCCGAATAAGAGCGCTGGGCCGGGAGGGAGGGAGGACGGCCTGGCCATCTCAGAAGGCTATGCAATTTTAAGAAGGACAGAAATAAAATGTATATTCTAATAGGCTGAAAGCTGGTACTTTTAACACCCCTTCAGAGCCATACAATGGCCAACAGGCAAGGACACATTTGGTTACCTTTTGTTCTGGTCTAATTTTTAATCATATTGCAAATTTTGTAACATGTAAGGAGCTGAATAACAAAGTTAATTTTGTTGTTGTTCATTCGCTTCTGACTCTTTGAGACTTCATGGACCAGTCCACGCCAGAGCTCCCTGTCGGTCGTCACCACCCCCAGCTCCTTCAAGGTCAATCCAGTCACTTCAAGGATACCATTCATCCATCTTGCCCTTGGTCGACCCATCTTCTTTTTCCTTCCATTTTCCCCAGCATCTTACTCTTCTCTAAGCTTTCCTTTCTTCTCATGATGTGGCCATCTTGGCCTCTGCTATCCTTCCCTCCAATGAGCAGTCGGGCGTTATTTCTTGAAGCATGGACTGGTTGGATCTTCTCGCTGTCCAAGGCACTCAGAACTTTCCTCCAACACCACAGTTCAAAAACATCTATCTTCTCAGCCTTCCCTATGGTCCAGCTCTCACATCCGTAGGTGACTATGGGGAATTCCATTGCTTTAACTATGCGGATCTTTGTCATCAGTGTGATGTCTCTACTCTTCACTATTTTATCAAGATTGGTCATTGTTCTCCTCCCAAGAAGTGTCTCCTGATTTCCTGGCTGCAGTCTGCGTCCGCAGTAGTCTTTGCACCTAGAAATACAAAGTCTGTCACTGCCTCCGTGTTTTCTCCCTCTATTTCCCAGTTGTCAATCATTCTTGTTGCCATAATCTTGTTTTTTTTTAATGTTTAATTGCAACCCAGCTTTTGTGCTTTCTTTTTGTGCTCCTCAGCTCCTCCTCGCTTTCGGCCATCAAAGTGGTAAGTTAAGTAAATACTGAAACCCAAATCCAACTTTTAGTTGTGGATCACACTGTACGCTGGCCTTGTCATTGTTTGGTGAGAATGAAAACTGTATTTTTTAAAAAAAGGAAAAACAGAATGCTAGTAAGCTTTGAGACAGTGTCAATAATCTGACCAAGTACCCACTTTATGGCACAGGACAGGCAAATACTACAGTGACCCTGGATTATTTATAGATTAACAGTAAAATTTTTATACATTTTGAGATTATTTAACAACAGCAAAATGATAAATAAAATTCAAGATTCTTTATTGTAGTCCTGTTATGGGAAATGTATAGTGAACTCTTCTACCTTAAGAACCAGGACTTAGCTAAATAAATCATAGAATCATAAGAGTTGGAAGGGACCTCGTGGGCCATCCAGTCCAACCCCCTGCCAAAAAGCAGAAAAATCACATTTAAGGCATCCCCGACAGATGGCCATCCATCCACTCTCAGAACTTTCCTCCAACACCACAGTTCAAAAGCATCTATCTTCCTTCGCTCAGCCTTCCCTATGGTCCAGCTCTCACATCCGTAGGTTACTACAGGGAATACCATCGCTTTGACTATGCAGATCTTTGTTGCCAGTGTGATGTCTCTACTCTTTACTATTTTATCGAGATTGGACATTGCTCTCCTCCCAAGAAGTAAGCGTCTTCTGATTTCCTGGCCACAGTCTGCATCTGCAGTAATCTTTGCACCTAGAAATACAAAGTCTGTCACGGCCTCGACATTTTCTCCCTTTATTTTCCAGTTGTCAATCATTTTTGTTGCCATAATCTTGGGGTTTTTTTGTTTTTTGTTCACTTAACCAATTACAAATCAATCTAACCATAGATTGATTTGATCTAACCATAGTTTGTTGGCCAGAAGGTCATGGGAGACCTTGTCGAAGGCCTTACTGAAATCCAGATACGTTACATCCACAGATTTCCCTGAATCTACCCAGCTAATCACAAATTATTGTAAGTCAGAACAATAGTTACTTCATATATATTATAATAATACCACAATATTACTCAAAGGCTTGTGAATGAAGTTTATTTAGGGTTGAATGGCATGGAATGTAACACAATACAAGACACGTTCAAGGTGATTAAGCACTAATTGCACAGGAGGTTAGAATCCACCTCAAGTCAACACAATCAAAACCATTATGTTATTCTGCCTTCAGAAAACGATATGTCATGCAAAATTAAAAGCATTCTAACCAACCTCATGGTACCATTTAAAATGCTACCAATGCCACAATAATTTACATCACATTAAATAATCATTCATAACGAATGAAACATTTTCCGCAATAAAGCAAAGCCCTCAATGCTTAAATCATACTTAGCAGATTTTGTATGGACACTCCGTTCCAGCATTTGGCTAAGCTAATGAGTGGAAAACATGCAGTGAAAGAGTACCATACAAATTAAAACCCCTTGTAATCAACAATATTTTCTGTATTGCTCATAGCAGTGATTGAATGAAGTAATATTTAACACATTTTGGACATGATTTTTATAACCATCCATGCACCGACATAATGGGCAGTCCCATGATGTAAGATTCAAATCTGAAGTCATCACACAGACCAGAGAGTCCAACCAGTCTTTGCAAAATGTAAAACCAGTGTGATTTAGATCAACAATTAAAACTTTTCTATATACCGAAGGACCCCAGTCAAAAGGTGTAACTGAAAACTGGACTCATAAAATTACATTTGATTTCTATTTACAGTCTCTCAAATAGGTAATCCTAGAAGGAATTGAATAAAGAGAAAAAATTATCAGAAAGGTGTCTGAAGAAGTTGTCAGTGCCTCGAAGAAACTTCATTTACTGCCCTTTGTCTTGAGGGACTTTTGTGGGGAAAGGGTCTCACGGAAAGCTAGAAAACGAAAAGTGTAAGCAACACAAAAGTGGAAAAGTGCAATCCTAACAGACTTCACTCACAAAGCCCTGCATGCAAAAGCATGTTCAAACCCAACCTCATATCATCTCTATGCTCAGCTTTGTACTGCTAAACAGAGAAAAGATAAAAATATATGTGTGTGTATGCACGAAGACATGCACACACGCCTTCATATGAAATGTGTCCTCTACAGTTTAGCTGCATGTATACATACCACCAGCTTACATAACCCTGTTTCCAGTAAATATTTTAAAGATGTGCTAGGTTTGTTGAGAAACTGGAATGTTGGGCCTGATTTCTCAGGAATGTGTACGATGCCTGGACAATAAACTGGAATGTATTTATCCTCTACTAAGCTCCAATCCGTTATTTAAGTGTTTGCTTAGGCCCCTTCTATACTGTCATACAATTCAGATAATCAAAGCAGCTAATCCACATTATTTGCTTTGAACTGGATTATATGAGTCTACATTGCCATATAATCCAGTTCAAAGCAGATAACCTGGATTTTATATGGCAATGCAGATGGGGCCTTAGTCTTCACAATTAATAATCATATTTGGGGGGGGGGGTCCTCCAAATTACTGCATGTGGTGAAATGCAGGTGGGTAAATACAATGTCTGAAACAAAGGTTCATGTAACTCGGAGTTCTGAAACGTTTATATTACAAAAACAATGTAAATAAATACCAGACTAGTAGAAAAGCTCTTATTTACAGTTTTACAAATGCAACTGTACTCTGTGAAAATGCAGTGTTTTAAAGAACACAGTATTAGTAAAATGAGTTCCTTGTAGCAACAGTTGTTAAATCTCACTGGTATAACGTATAGAAAACATAGTTCAAGTTATTATGGGTTTTATAATTTAGTACAGACAAACCCAGTATCACCTGGAATGAGATCTGTTAAAGTGCTGAAAAAAAAGAAGTTTCAGATTTTTTTGTCTTTAGAAAACTTACTATACATTTATTAAAGCTTTATCAAGTTAAAACGTTAGATTTTATTCACATTTTTTCTACCACAAATGCCTGTGGGGGACAAGATACAATTTTTCAGCAATTTGAGTACTCTTCATGTTGATCTCTGCAGAACACCTGGGTTCACGATTCTGTGGCAGGTTCAGGCTTCACAATTTGGTAGGTGATCAAATATTCCGGGTAGGCCTGAAAGACAGATTACATTAATTATTTTCAGACCGTCTCAAAGAGACATTCGTGGAAATAATAACTACTTCTGGAAAAAATGTTTGAAAAGGTGAAATAAATGATCATTTTGAGGAGATAAAATCCTGTGCCTGCCCAAACTTGGGTTAAAACCCAGTGAAATCAATTAGATTTACTTCTAAACAGATGTGCAAGATTATGGTGTAAAAATGTAAACAAAGTATAAAAGTCACGAGGTGCAATTTCAGTTATTTTGAAGATAAATGTTTGCAACACAAAACCAAAAACACACTACCTGCTCTCCTCTGTAAATGACATATTCTGCTAAAGCTAACCCATTCACGCTTGGCCGTCCAGTAACCGAATGGTGTCCTGGAGGGGAATGAGCCATTTTCATTGCACTGAACTGCAGAAAAGACTTTCCCAACGTCACACGGCAAAATAGCAACTGCCTGCATTAAAATAAAATAATCTTATTTAAAAACAATACTTTAAAATAGTATGGCATGACAAGTATGGAAATGCATTACAATCTGAAGAGAAAAAACAATCCATTGCTTCATAGGTCAATAAGATTTAAGAAAAGTTACATTTACACAAATATTTTCCATTTCTGGACTCATTTTTCCCCGCAGGCCTATCCAGTCAATTTTAACTTGTGAATTTTAACCAGCATTTAGGGGACATGGAAAGAGCTTCCTCAAAGACTGAGTAAATATAGTTTTTGGCAATATAATAGAATATATTATATAATATACTAGTGTCCCCCCTGCCACGCGTTGCTGTGGCCCAGTCTGTGTATATGTGCTTTGTGTGTATATATATGTGTGTATATGTGCATATATGTGTTTGTGTTTATATATGTGTGTGTTTTTGCACATGCGTTGTAATGTATTTTTTTAATTTTTGGCTTTTTAAGTCTCTTCTGCTATGTTTTTCAGTGTTTTTTATGAGTGATGGTCACTCGTTGGCCTGATAGATGCATTGTGTCCAAATTTGGTGTCAACTGTCCAGTGGTTTTTGAGTTATGTTAATCCCACAAACGAACATTAGATTTTTATTTAGATAGATTGTGTGTGTGTATGTGTGTGTGTGTGTCTGTCTGTCTGTCTATCTATCTATTTATCTATATCTTGTAAGCCGCTCTGAGTCCGCTTTGGGGTGAGAAAGGTGGCATATAAATGTCGTAGATAAATAAATAAATGGCTTATTTATTTACTTCATTTGTATAACGCTCTTCTCAGCCCTTAGGCGACTCAGAGCGGTGAACAACAAGAGTTTCAATATACACAGTACAAAATCATTGGACATTTAAAACAATAGCAAACAATTAATTAACATCACACATCAATATAACAAATCTATCACGTCTCATCGATAAATGTATGAATTTATACAATGCTTTTGACACAAAATAAGTAAACCTGAATGTAGGATTTCCCACCAAAACAAAGTTTTGGCAGTTTAATAAACTTTCAAATTTTTTAAAATGATAGAACTCATTAGGAAAATGACATTTATAACCCAGGAACAAAAATGGTGTTACATGGTGTTATCATTCAAAGAGCATTACATACATTCCATATATAGAGGGGGGGGGGGGGGGGGGAAGGAGGGAGGAAGAGAGCAGTAAAATAGCTCCTACCAATCTTAATACAATTCATACCATTATGTGAACTTACCTATGGCAGACATAACAAGACCTGTCTTTGTGAATTGGGCAACCAGTGCCACCTCCAATGCCATACACATATTGGTTGCTTTTGGAAGAATTTTCAGCAAAATAAATACCAGCTCCAAACATCCCACCTATGTAAGCATGTCTTTCATCAAAACCTTTATGAATAATTGCATTCACAAAAGGAGAACCTGCAAGTACATTAAAACACAAAATAATGGTTTCTACATTTGTAGTACTGAATATCTCACTGTGTTCTAAATAAAAACTCTCATAATCTATCCATGCTGAAGACAAAAAATGAAAATAATTTGACTCATTTTAAAATACGGTATGACATAGGGTTGCTATCATCATCAAATGGGCTGGGAAAGACTGAGACCTTGATAAACTGCTGCAAGATACTGTAGACAATACTGACATAGCTGAACAGATATGATATTAAGCAACTTCCTGCATTCCAAACTAGTGGCAGTCCAAATACTATGTGGAATGCTGCTTATACCCTGTTGCTACCCTTTCAAATCATGCTTTGCTCATTTATCAAAACTCTCTTCCTTTCTTGCTCATTAACACTGAATATCTATAAACCTTTTGCCAGCTCTGCCAGAATAATTGGGGGGGGGGGGGTTACATACCTTTCTACACTTATAATGTGATTCATATGAAGCTGCATGGGGAGTTATTACTATATCAATGAGTAAAGTCTCAAATAAAAACAGCAGTGTTTATGTAAATAATATATTGTTCTTATTGAACTGGTTATTTCATGGAAAACTTTCTTTCAGGCAATCTTAATTCAACAACAACATTTTATTATGGTCCAAAGACCCTTATTGCATTGTAGGTGTACAAGGTATGCAGGTAATGAGATTAAGAACATCTGGTTGATTAAACAAGCAAATTGATAAGATTTACAACAGTTAAAAACTGCTTAAAACTCATGTTGGCTAAAAACATAGGTAAAAAATTACAAAAAGTGCCAGTGTGTTTCAGCCTGTGCCTAAAATTGGGAATTCTTTAATCCTGGCTGCCTCAGAAAGAAACTTGGCAACCATGGAAAGGCCGGTGGAGGAGACTTTCTTAGAACTAATCTTAAACCAACGGCTTATGTACTCATCCTGAATTAAGTGATGCCAACTGCACTGAATGAATGATGAACTTTCATGGTACATTACTGCCATGCAGTAAGTTACGACTTTATTTATTCTAGTTTTAATTTGGAGCTGAACTGTTATTTCAAAGCAGAGAATAATAAAAAAGTTCAGAAACATTTTAAAAGACTTGTGATGAGGAAAAAAATGATATACCATGGAACAACATCCTTTCATTCGCATGGTTATGATTCTCTTCAGATACTTCTTTCCTCCTATGAGTGTATCTTTCCCAGAGTTTTTTATTACACACTTTTTGAATCTAGGAAGGAAAAAAATACAGAATTTACAGTCAGTCTTACATTTTTAAAATAAAAAATGACAGTACTTTTGGCACCAATGGGAAAAAAATAATTTGCTACTATTCTTCCTACCATCCTTGTACAAACTTATATTAAGCTTATATAGAGCAGATTCACTTGAATAAATGAGATTTATAGAGTTGACTCACCATTCAAGAATGGGGACTTTCAACAAAATTCAGGCAGAAGAAGACGTTAAACACATGACAAGTCTAAACAATTTTCTCCCCAAAAATTGTCATGTATTATTTTAATACAAATTAACCATTTCCATAATCAGTTTAATTATATTGTATATACTCATGTATAAATCTAGAAATCTTAGTCAAAAATTGAGCAAAAAGGTTTGGGTTGACTTATCCACAGGTCAGTGTCAGTACTTTAATGCTTACTAAAACAAGAAAAAGAAACCATATCTGGCTAAAGAAGTGAAAAGAGAGAGCTAGCCCATCCTACAAAGACCTAAAAGGAACACAAATCCCCTCAAATGTTTCTGTTGCTTCTGAATGCTTGGGTAGAAAAATGGCAATAGCAATGGCTATGGTAGCTGGCCCCCTTAGGTGGCTCTGGCTCTTTCCCCTCTCCATGGAATGGAGCTCAATTTATCCATGGGTCCTACATAATTTTGGCACCCAAACCTGCCTCATGGAATCATAAAGTTGGAAGAGACCGCATGGAATAGCATGAAGTACCCCCAACAGATGGCCACCCAGCCTCTGTTTAAAACCCCCAAAGAAGAAGCTTCCACTATACTCTGAGGAACTGAGTTCCACTGTTGAACAGCTTACAGTCAGGAAGTTCTTCCCAATATTCTGGCGGAATCTTCTTTCCTGCCTCAATTATACATGGATTTATATAGTACTTAACTGTTACTGTAGAAAAAAAAATCTAGTGTCCTCAAGAGTCGGACCATCTTTTAAGCCTCACCACAGCTATTTGACATTATTCTTCAAATCTTTTCAAAACCATTAAATGAGGGGTTTTTTTTCTATTTGAGTGAAAGGAATACCTTTTCTTAACAGACACAGCTGTAATGGGATTTTGAGGAAAACTGTAATTTTCCATTTCCTGGTCATGAAATGTAATGGATATAAACAACAGAACCAAAGGCTGAGGAAGTATTGAAAGCTAGGGGGCCACATTAGGCACACAACCCACCCACTCCTGACCTTAAGAGAGCTGCATGCTGCACATATACATGCAAAAGAACATATATATATATATAGAGGGGGGGGGAGGGAGGGAGAGGGAGCGCTTGAATCTATCTAACGGGCATAGGAGACATTTTCATCATGTTTTTAGCTCTCTGGACCACTTTAAGCCTAGGAAAGATGTATTTGTGCACATCCTGTTTCCAAAAAACAGAGCTTTCCTATCTATGGCCCAGATGGACTGGAAAACATAGCAAAAATGCACCCACTCCTTAAAGTGTGTTTGGCAGTATCCTATGGCAAAAAGAGGAAAGGATAGGAGTCTTAATGGTGGAAGTTGAAAAAGAATGCTGACTCCTGCTTGGTGTGTTTGGTTGAGGGAATTAGTCCATCAGTAAGTGGAAAGGCTCTCTTCTTGTGCCATCCCATTGAATTCATTCATCTGCTGCATTCTTTCCAGAGACTCCACAAAACAGACAATACTGATTCAGTCTTTGTTCGCCTGGAACACGTCCTGCCTCCCCTCCAGGGCACACTGCCCCTATCCCAAAAGCTGCATTACAAAGCTGGTGCCCTCAACCCACAATCAACAGCATACAATTTTTCTTCACAAGTAATTGTTCCTAATTCTATATAATCCAAATGGTATTATCAATTAATTTAACCTGTAAGTTTCTAATTTGTCGAGTTCATCATAATTAAGAGTTTTTTGTTTTATGGGTATAAAGTATCTCTTCCTTCTTTTCAGGCTAGATAACTTATGGATGCTTAACTTATTGATTTTTGGACAAGATCTATTACCTTTAAAATATTGTATCTGTTGAAAATGCCACCAGCATGTCCACCATCTCTGTGTTCTCGAACAGTACTCTGCATCTGAACATCAAGTGAAAACACACAAAATCTCTTAAATGAAGGCATTAGTGTCCATTCTGCCAAATAAAACTGCTTTATGTGTCATGGCGATCCCAAGGAAACTGAGCTAAACAAATGGATATTATAATTTTCATTCAAACAACAGAATGTAAAATAGCTAATTTAAGGCAAATATTTTCCATTCCATGAAAATAATTTCAGATGGGAAGCCAATCGAGGGAACGAGCTCAACATGTTGAACCTCTAATCATATCATCATCTTGCCTCCCTTAAAGCAAGCATCAAATGACTCTTTGATGATTTCCATCTCACCAAATACATTAACAGCAATGACAGTTTTTATTTCAAGGGGTTATCTGAAAGTTAGAACTGCTACCCTATCTTATCACAAGAGATAATGGGCCATATTTGGGAAATGTGCCCTGACAAGCAGCCCATTTACCTCTCCTTTTTCACAAGACACAAGCCCTAGTAAACTACTCTTTATCATAATACATAACTGGGAAAAAAATCATAGCTAATTGCTTCCAACCAATAAAGATATGAAAACAGGTTTTACAACTTGTTATCAAATGCTTGCTTATCTAGAAACCATAAGCCATAGTTCCCAGGTTCAGTTCTATTAGGAAACAATTGCTGCTTCTTGGTTCACGTAGTTGTAAGAGCAGAGCAATACGGATTATATGGACTTATGTATGCAGAATTTCCTGTCCCAGTTGAAGCCCCCTCTATCTTCAACTGAACAAACAAAAGGCCAAACCAAAAGATTCAAAGGGTATTTGAATCCATCATGGGGAAAAATATTCTTTTGATTAAACAAACTTGAATTGCAATAGCTTCAAATAATGCAAAAGAATGCAATTTTCAATGTGACATATAAATCAAAATATATACCTCTTCTTCTACAGATTGAAACTCTTTATCATCTGGAGAGAGATCTATAAGTATTGTTCCACTTCCTGACGTATTCAAAGTTAAGTAGGTGTTAAGACCTATGAGGAAATGCAATGTAAAACTTTAGCTAGAATGTGGAAGCATATAACCTTGAGCTCCCCCCCCCCCAAAAGTCACAAGAGTACAAGATAGGTTTTGAAAAGTGAAGTATCATCAAAGAAAAAGTAGTGTCTTTTAGGCTTCAAGATGTTTCATGAGTCCAAGATAACATAAAAAATAAGATGGTACATACATCTTACCTAGAACTTACAAAATAACATGAACATGATTATAGTTGAAAATACTGAAAAACATGAAATACTTAGAAATGACTACATATTTGTAGCAATGACAACATACCTTGCTGTCCTGAAATTAATCTCTCAATCCCTTTAATTATTTTGTGTCTATGGCCATAAGCATTGATTCCAATTTCCTTTAATTCTTTGTGCCCCATCTCAATGAGTATGTCTAATGTTATCTACAAAAAAACCAAAATGAAACAAAAAATATACATTTGTATGGGAAAACTACACCACTGCATAGCTGTTTAACATGAAAATCATTGCTTCTAGCTTCATGCTATGCCAACCGCAAAAATAATACCCATCCTCAATTGCTTTGGAAACTGGGCTCTCAAGAAGGATTGCCAGCTGGCATTTTTAATGACTTTTAATTTTTTGGACATGCTATCCTTGCCTTCTTTGGCAATAGGAGATCCTAAACTCGTCTTTTAAGATAATTTCTTTCAACAAGCTAGAAAATATTCATTTCATAGGGAAAATCTGGCCATCTCGAACAAAATCTGTGTTTAGCAGAAACATCTAGGTTCGTCACCATCCCTACTAACTAGAATATTGAAAGGTAAGTGCAACACTTAGAAATTTAGTTTCCATAATCTGTGCAGGAACCCAACTTTCAATTTGTAATGCTGGAAATAGTTCTTTAGAGGATGAAAACAGAAAAATGTGGCTGTGTGTTCACCTACATCTTGACTTACGTGTCATAACTTGATACATCCTTAAAGAATCCTGGCATGAGTTTTCTTTCAAAATAAAAATATAAACTAATAAACTGGATTTACTTCCCTCCATATATTCAAACTGTTTTATTCGTTTAAAGATCAGGGCAGACACTTACCTGCTCTCTCTCAAATATATCAATTAGATGTTCAAGTCCAAGATTTCTCACAAATTGATTTATGCTAAAATCTACACCTGGAACTGAACAGAACAAAATACTATATATTAATAGAGAAAGTTTCATTTACAGAGTCAAGATGAAATGACTACCAGTCAGACAAAATTATGTGGATATATTGAATAAAACCTGGAACATGCAATCCTTTTCTAGGAATAAATTTGAAATACAATCAGCTTTTGGACTGCATATATCTCAATTCTTAACTAATGGATGTTCAACTTGTGTTTCTGGATTTATCTTTATTGTTCCTAATCCAACAAAATAAAATGTGATAAGCACTGATTTTAGAAACAATTACAAGTGTGTTCTCTAGGGTGCTCCATGAGAAAACCTTCAGTAAATCTAAATATACATAAGACACACATTTAGATTATTGTCAATAAGTTCCATTTAAATAGTTGCATACACCTAAACAAAATTTCAAATGTGATGGGATTATAAACTGAAGAAATAATTTTTGGATATATCTGTTTATCTAGAATACAAAGTCAACACACGTATATTTCAATGAAAGATTTCCAAGTGAATATGACAGCATCACTTCTGTATCTATGGTTATACCACATTAAATCTTCCATAGACAAACCATGGCTCAAAACCTGTAACATTACAGGTTGATGTTCTAGTCTTTGGGTTAAATTCAATTGCTCTTCCAAGAATAAGGTCCATTACCCCAAATCCTCAATTGCAACACTAATTTAAGTCCCATCAATTCTGTGGACCTATTCTAGCTAAGTTTAGCAAAAGGATTTTGTTCCTAGGCTGCTGATAAATGTATACAGAGACCTCAATTTGTTATCTGACTAAGCCAACCCAAAAGAAGAAGCACATCTTACCTTCTTTTTTCTCCAAACCAGTGGCCCCCTCAGCACCATTTGCACTAACAACCGAGAGTTCAGAAAAGCTACCAGATAAATTATCAAGGCTACTGGCAGCTGATAGATTACAGGGGCTGGATGGAATGGATGACAGTGAATCAGCTGAAGACCCTGTATTTTGAGACACATTAATAACCTGAGGCTTGTAACAAGATGGCAAGGCAGAAAGTGGCATGGCAGCTGTCAATAATGCACTAACATCATCCGCCTGAAAATTAAAAAAACAAAAAAACAAAACAAAACACATTATTAAGACATAAACATTGTATTAAAATGAGTTACAAGTTCTTTATACATGAACACAAGTAATAATTCTAAACTAATTACCTCAAAGGAAACTAGAATTTAAATTGTCTAACATTTAACCATTTAAGAGTAGTTTCAAATCAATTACCGCCTTGATCCACAGGTTACTTGTACATGGCAATTCCAATAAAAAGTGAGTGCTTCATGTTTTGGCTTTGAGTGTATTGGAGGTCCCAGTTAAAATGTCTAGCCTGCCACAGCCTTCTAGGCAAAACTTCACTGGCAGCACAACCAACTTCGTTATCTTGTTGCAGTGGCAAAATGACAAGATTTATTTTGAATTCTGCAAATACTTCAGTAAAGGATGCAATCCTATATGCACCTATCTGAGATTAAGTTGCACTGAATTTAATGGGAATTACTGTTGAATAGAGATGTATTAAATTACACTGTAAGAAATCAGTTTACAGGGAATATGTAATCATTTGATGCAGCACTAAGAAGTCCTATTTCAGAATTTTTGGATCTAGTCATAATTTAAATTTAGGGAGAACACCATTTCGAAAATATATATAGTGTGTGGAAGTACTATATTCTTTCTAAGGTACAAGAAATCCTTCAAATTTACTACAAAACTGGTTTAGGCACAACAAAATGAAAATCTGTATTTTATTGTCTCAAAATACCAAATGCTCTACATTTTAATTTAAAAATATTTTACAATTTTAATTTGGCTTTTTTGTTGCTATGCTTAGGTGGATCAAAAAATAAATTCAGGCCAAAAACATGTGTTTTTGATTTAACATCCTATTTTTGGAGTCCTAAAAAAACAACACACAGATGACATGTCACAAGTCTGTGGTAGACTCAAGTGACGGGCTACATGAGATTTTGGGGGGTAACAAACTGTGTAGGTCAAGTTTAAATCAACAGTATTTTTTAGGGGAAGAAGCATAAAACGGCATAGAAGACACTATATGTAAAACCAACAAGCAATAAAAAGAACATAGTGTCGCTACCTATTAATTTTCAAACAACGTTGTTCCAAGAGCTATACCCAAGCTAAATTCTTTTTGCCTGTCGTCTGTAGCATTTAGCGTACAGTCAACTGCACCAGCCATATGTTTTTGGATGTACAAGTTTGGATATCCTGGTGAGAAACCAGGAGCTGAATCTTAACACAAACGTCTCAAAAAATCCCATCACTTACGGTGACTAGGTCTAATGGCGTTTGTCCTTCCTGGTTTTTCAGAGTAGGATCAGCTCCATGTGCCAATACTAAGGCACAAAGCTGTGTCCTTCCTTTCTGGGCTGCTTCATGCAAAGGTGTGAAAGCCCATTTGTCCGTAGCATTCACACACGCATTATACTTTATAAGCAAAGCTGCTACATCTACATGCTGGAAGATAAAATACATTTATGTAGTGCAACCCTCAGGAAAAGAAGACCTTCCTGTAACTTGCCTTTGGAATACCTAAGAAATGAATATGGCAAAACAAATCCCATCAAAGCAAAGAGGGCATTTCAGCACGTTATTCAGAACAAATCCAGTATTCAGTATTAACTAGATGCAACTTTGTAGTGTAATCTCTCCTGTGGAGTGAGGTGGGAGTGCAAAGAAACTTGGAAGTCATCTGATCTGTATTTGTCTATTTTATTAACCCGTTGGTCCTGTTAGGGAAGCAGAAAGTGGTGCTTAGCAAAAATACCAGTAAAGAGCTGTCTGGCTGAGGCCAAAATGGTGGGACCTAACAGAACAATCTGGTGCTGGGGATCTTCCTCTTCCTGTCTCTAAGACAGCCCCCCCTCCCAAACCCAAAGGCAATTCTATGGTGCCATCAAATGTAAGGCATACCTCATTTTAAAGCTCCTTAAATGGGAAAAGATATGCCTTAGATTCGATGAAATATGGAATTCTCATTAAACATGACCATGGCTGGAAGCTGTGCTATGTGAGGAAGTAGATTCAAACAAACCATCTCATGAAGTGGACATGCCCTCCCTTCTGTATTCAGAAATTTTTCTTAAGAGTTACATTTCCATGCCCATGAGATTACAAAACCAAATGTGCCACAGGCAACCCTGTCATCTTTTATCAAGTAAAATGGGGAAGTCATTTGCTATTTTCTCAGGGTGACCGGCCTTGTATTTTGAACAAGTGAATCTATATTCCTCTAAATACACAAAATGTCATGACTCGTAAAGTGATAACCAGAGAGCCAGAGATTCTCAAGCAACTTCCAAAATGTATATATGCAAAATATATTCCTTTTCCTTCCTCTAAGACACCCCCCCCCCAAAAAAAAACCCCAAAGGCAATTCTAAGGTGCCATCAAATGTAAGGCATACCTCATTTTAAAGTTCCTGAATGGGAAAAGATTCCCATTCTTTGGGGGAGAAATATAGGAAACAAACAAACAAATAAATAAATGCATCTGACCAAAGCTCATAATGTGTATAGAAATATTCAGAGAAAGAATAGTAATTGAGGGAAAAGGCTCCACAGAAGTGGATGTTTGCAACACTGATCTAGCAGGACATTTGGAGAACACTAGAAGGCTCTATTTTTGTCAAAGATTAGCAAGCCATTATAGATTTCTGGGTAGTGGTGGATCCAGAATAAGTCAGTCCTATTTTAGCACCCTTGAAATCTATGGACAGTTACAGTAAATTATTTCCATGAGACTGAAACATGCCTTTGCATGAGTACAACTCTAAAATACTCTTTTGTTCCTATCTGGTTTCAAAAAAATCAGTGGTTTCAAGAACCAAGGATCATTGTCAGGCTATTAAAACAGAACTAACATGAAGTTGTATGCTTAAAAATCACCTTCCATCAAATTCAATACAAAGTCCCTAAGTAACAAACATCCAACTTACAAACGACTCACAGTTGAAGAATGGGGTGAGAGAGAAGGAAGTGAGAAATCTACCACTAGGAAGGGGAATTCACTCTGTAAGTGTTATCATGTGGAAAGGTCCCTATTTCTATTTCCCTATTCCCCTATAGGGATGTACTTTCATATGTGGTGGTCATGTAAAATTATACAAAATTTTTGGGAAAGCATATTCAAAGAAATAAGAGCAATAATAAAAATAGAGATTAAGACTACACCAAAATTAGCTTTATTACTTATACATGACAATACAATTCCATCACAAGAGGAGAAAGAATTGGTTTCTAATTTGATAATAGCAGCTAAATTGCTAATAGCAAAATACTGGAAAGAAAAAAAGAAATTCAATTAGAAGAATGGTATAGGGAAATTTGGAATATAGCTATTAATGATAAGCTAACCTGCAATATTAAAATTAAAAGGGGAATATGGAAACAAACAGATTTCTGGAAAATATGGGGAAAATTTATTGAGTATATTTTTAATGAGGGAAAGGGGTACAAGCCAGCAACAGAAACAATGACATTTTGGAATTGTGAAATAACATGAGTAGGTTGGTCCTGGTGAAGGGGGCACAAACTAAAGGTAAAGGGAAGAGGTGGGAAATGGTATAATACTAATTATAAAGAAATAAAACATGTATAAGTAGATAAAAGGTGTGTGGTAGAGATATACATTGTATAAGTTGTAACGGAATGATAAGAAATATGCTTAAAGATGTATTTGATTATTTTTACTGTTAGATTGTATATAATATGACAAATTCTTCTATCTAAGATGTTGTAAAAAGAGGGAAGAATGTGTGCTTATACATGTTGTTTGATAAATGTATAATTAAAAAAAAATCATGTGGAAACGGTGTCTCAACTTGAGCTTTATCATCAATCCTTGTTTCCACTACAAGCCAAATTACTCAAAATCCAATTGTCACAGGACCGGAAAGTGAGATGTAATCTTCTGAACAGGGGCACAGATAGCAAAACAAACACCACAGGGATAGCTTTCCCTATGCTATCCAAAACTTTTAATAAATGGCTGATTTACACTTAAAATGTACCTGTTCTGGCTTAAAAACAAATTCAACTTAAGAACAAACCTTCAGAATCTATTTTGTTCATAACCTGAGGACTGCCTGTACCAGTTTACAAAAATCACCTTCTAACAACTTCAGCAAGGATCACTTGCTGCATCAAATAACTATCAAAGCTTTTCTTTCTCATCTGGCTACCTTCAGCCCGCCAATAAACTGGATCATTGTTGTGTTTATAAGGTAGACTAGAATGGAAGGACAGAGTTTGTGTGAGAATATTCAATGGACACAGGTATAGTATATTTCTAAACCCCATAACATTCAATGGACACAGGTATAGCATGTTGCTAAATCCTATATGCCATCCTTTACCAATATTTATATGAGAACTTTTAAGCAGCTGACTGAATGCCATGGCTAATTTACAAGGTTGCAAAAGCATACTGTGGGGAAGTACCTAGCTTGGTGGTTGCAGCCAAACATACAGAAGGTATCATATTATTTATTCTACTTACTATCATACGCTGATATCCTGACATCCCCCAAAAAACTTCACAGCAGAACAGAAAACTTTTCATTCCATTTTTATACTAAGAACAGCTCTATGTACATCACACTAGAGAATGAATCTACTTTAAATCTGGTCGCTTCCTCCTGAGAATTCTGGGGTTTGTAGTTTAGGGAGGAGCCTTTAACAGCCTCACTAACCTACAAACCCCAGAATTCTGCAGGAGGCAGAAACCGGATTTAAAATGGATTAATTCTCTAGTATGATGAAGCAGCATGAAGCAGGCTACTTCAAGCAGATTGAAAGATAGTGATTGGCTCAATTATTCATTTAACTTCATGGCATGTAAATCTCTCCACTTCAGAAAAAACACTTTGATCACATTAGTACATTGTAACTTACAGAGTCATATTCTATTCACAAAACTGTCAGACAGAACAGAAATCTGGGCACATCACAGCCAACATGCAAAGTCTATCTGTTTTGTAAATGAAATGTATCCAATTATATCAACACAACAAGCCAATATAAAAGAGACAGAATTGCATTATGATACAGACCAGGGTGTGCATCTATGCTGTACCATTAATGTAACTTTACAATTTAACTGTCATGGCTCAATACTATGGCATCCTGAGAGCTATACCTTTACAAGGGCTTTAGCTATCTCTGCGAAAGAGTGGTGGTGATTCACCAAACTACAAATCCCAGCATTCCACAGCATTAAGTCATAATAGTTGGAGTGGTTTCAAACTGCATTAACTCTACAGCTAATAGATAATATTGGTGCAATCCAACTCTTAAGGAAGAGGGAAGAATGAAACCCATCTCCTCTAAAGTTGTGTCCACAGGGGAGCCTTCAACTGTGCCCATACCCCTTGTTTATTCTGAGCACTGGCAAAGCCATGCAGCATCAATCAGGGTTATAGTGATCTGAATAAACAAATCTTCTATAATATTTCAGTCCTTATGGTTAATGAAATTTGGGCTGCACAAATAAGTAAATAATCTAATTTATTCTGTATGTATTTTATTTTGTTTCTAAAGCTATTGTTATTTATTTTTAAAGTAAGATGTGACAGTTGGCTTAGAATTGTTTCTAATTTAATGCCTTTATTCTACATTTTATGAGGTAAAAGCAACAAAGAAAAAAGAGCAAGAGATCAGGAGATGACGAAACAGATTTTCTGACCAACTATAAAAAAAAACAGACATATTGATAGCTCTGACTATACTCTGGAGGAAAAAATATACCCGGTAATTGAACAAAACTTTGAAAAAGTCTGAAGAAAGAAGAACTCCTTTATTATATCATTAGCTTGTATACTGTCATTTTTTAAATTAAAAGAACTTATTTAGGTTATCTTGCTTCCCACCATACTTGGTGAAAAGATAACAACAACAACAACAACAACAACTTTATTTATAGACTGCCCTCTTCCCAAGGGGACTCAGGGCAGTGTACACACAAAAAAGGCAAACATTCAATTCCATAATCCAGAATCTGGTGGTCAAATAAACACGGGCTCTCTTGGGCAAGCATTTACTTCCTATAGTATCCAAAGAAATGCTACAAAGTATAGGCTATCTCTTCTCTAATCCCAGGATACAAGAGGAGAAAGAGTGCCACTTGAACAAGGTTTGAGATCTGTTTCCATTCTATAAACACATATACACATATGTTATAAACACAGGAGACATAAATGCACTTTTTAAATTAATCACTCTTTTAGGTACTCAACGTCTCTGTGTTGTTCTATGTCTGTTATGAATTTGTTATTCAAAAAGGTGTCTATTATTATACAACGAATTCTTGGGCAAAGACGAACTAATATATTTTACTAAGCTAATATATAGTTCCAGGGGTACTATAGTTCAAGATACTTTTACTTACTCCATAGGATGCTGCATTGTGCAGAGGAATAAGACCCCCTTTGTCCTGTGCGTTTACATCAGCTCCGTGCTGTAACAGGTATTCCGCAACCTCTAAATTATTGTATCCAGCTAGTGTAAAACAAGAATAACATTTTAATGGATTATAAGATTGTGTCTTAAAGGCAAAAAAAATACTATAAATGCTATTTCTATTTGTTCTGAACCATAAACTAGCGACTTTTGGGGGATTCGGGGTTTTTTGGGAACTGCAGAACATACACAGTTGTAGCCAGTGAGAACAACTTTTCAGATTAGAGCATAGCACATGATTAGTATACAGAAAACTCCAAGATCAATCCTTTGCATTTCCAAGTACAGAGCATGCAGAGCTTGGAAAGACTTCTGTCCACAACCTGGAGAAATTGCAGCTGCTAAAGTAGTACTATTGGGTTATGATAAGCAAACTGCCTGATTTAATGTCAAGCAATTTCATATAAATCCATGTGTATAAGCCAGAGTGTATAAATAAAGGCAACTTTATTTAAAATATAAATTTAAAATATAAAAATTTATATTTTATTGATTTGTTTAGTTTTTATTATATGTTGTGTTTTTAATTGTATTTAAGACATTGTAAGCATTGAATTTTGTTCTGTTAACCGCCTTGAGTCGCCTGTGGGCTGAGAAAGGCGGTATACAAATACAGTAAGTAAGTAAATAAATAAACTGGACCTACACCATCCCTGTTAACTGCAATTTTGATAACACTTTACAAACTGTTTTATAACAATTTAACAATAACAACATATTTCAGAATGTTAAGAAATTCTAGGGCAGGCCAACTCTGCAAAAATTGTGACCTCTAAAGAAATACCAACCTGCTAAATGTAATGGTGTGGAGTGCCGACCTTGTGTATCACGGCAATTTACATTATCAGGAGAACAAAGTTTCTTCACCCGAGCCAAGCAGCCCTTCTTTGCTGCATCTAGCAAAGCTGCATCTCCTCTAAGGAGATCCTGAATATCTGTGTCACCATCTTTAACAAGGTCTAGTGGGGTGTTCCCATCTCTGTTTTTCTTTGTGGAGTCAGCCCCATGCTGTATAAACCAGATGGCAAAAAAGATGCATGAGTTTTAATTTTTTTTAAAAAAGACGAAGCAAAAACACAACTGCTTTGTACCATTAACACCCTGTTCATAAATACGTGATATATACCAAGGATTAATTCTAAACATCAGCAATAAATAAGCAGATTATTACACTGACAGATATTTCAGTTTTCCATGTAACTTACTTGTAGGAGGAGTTTACAAATCTCATATTTTCCCTTTGCAGCAGCTTCATGTAAAGGAGTGAATTTCCATAAATCAGCTACATTTACAACTGCACCATGTTTAACAAGTAATTCAGCCACTTCATAATGTCCATAAGAACATGCATTATGCAAAGGAACAAGGCCTCTGAAAATATGAAGGAAACATCCCACAGTTAAAGATACAATTGGGTGTCTGTATCATTCTGTCACCAAGAAATCTGAATACTTTCAACTTCCTCAAAATATGTTATGAGGAAGTGTGAAACAAAGCTTTTAAAATGTCTAAGGAAGCATTCAGTGGATGAAGAACAAGGACGTTGATGGGTGGAACATTTTTATCATCAATATGGATTCTATTAACATTAGTAGGTGAACACATAGTTCTCAAGATCAACACAGTAATTATGTAGGCCCTCATAAATAATATTATACAATTTTATGAACTGGTTTCAAACCAATGTAACAGAAGACATTTAGTGCTGTTATAAAGCACAGTAAACAAAAAGAAGACTCTTCACTCCCCCCTTGTGTCCACTTCCAGTTCATGCATTAGAGTAGGTTTGCACAATTACATAAAACTATATGCTTTGTCAAAAATATACCGAGTCAATTCTGTACCTATTACCATTAGATATTTGCAAAAGTGAAACTACAAAAGAATACTGACCCCTTGTCTTTTGCGTGAACATCAGCCCCATGCTGCAGAAGATACTCAACTACAGATACTCTATTGTATCCGGCTGCAAAGTGAAGTGGTGTGGATTGACGCCCTTCAATATCTCGGCAATTCACACTCTGTACTGTGCATAACTTCTGTAGAAAGTAATAGACAAGATACACATTTGGGGTGTAACAACTGGTGGACTGTTTCTTCAGAGTCGATTCTTCTTTCATTTAAAAATATCAGGCATCTCCCCTTGTGTATATGCATGCATAAAAGATTCAGCTTTGGTCTTACTTTTACCGTGTCCATATCTCCAGCTTTGGCAGCTTCCAATAACTGTCGGTCTGCTTCCGAATTGCCTAAAGGAACACCTTCTGCAAAAGAAGCCAGAATATAGGTCTGTAAAACTGCTGAAAATAGCAACCTTCCAAGTCTTCACTATTTGTTTGTTAATGTACAGGGTTAGTCAAAATGAATAGGCCAATAAGAAAATTAATTTTAGACGAATGTATGTTTATTGTAACCAAACTACAGCTACGTAGCGACAGATAAACTATCAAAGTTTTGTCTCACCTTCAGAGATGTTCGATATGGGCGCCCCGTGTGACACGGCAGATGTCCAAGCGATAGTCCAGTTCATTCCACATCCGTTGCAGCACATCCGACGTAATGGCATCGAATGCAGCAACGTCTGGGAAGGTGTTCATTGAGGTCCTAACCCTAACTCTAACCCTAACCCTATCCCTAACCCTAACCCTATCCCTAACCCTAACCCTATCCCTAACTCTAACCCTAACCCTAACCCTAACCCTAACCCTAACCCTAACCCTACCCTAACCCTAACCCTAACCCTAACCCTAACCCTAACCCTAACCCTAACCCTAACCCTTGAAATTCTCGCTGGACCGTAATTACTGACATTGTTTTAGCAAATGTCATCACACAAAACGCCTTCTCTTTGCTTGATTCCGCCATTTTGAAAACAGCGACCCCTAGCGACGCCTAGCGGCATTAACGTACATGTGTGTTGCTCAAAAAAAACTTTGATAGTTTATCTGTCGCTACGTAGCTGTAGTTTGGTTACAGTAAACATACATTCGTCTAAAATTAATTTTCTTATTGGCCTATTCATTTTGACTAACCCTGTATATCTTTCCTAACCTGTATTATATGTATATATTGATTTGTCAGTTTGACTGTCCTCTTTGAAGTGGGAGGGGCTACAGACATGTGATTGTTCTGAGCATGTTCAGACTGAAGACTTCAATGAGAACAGTATGCTTTTGGATTTCAATGGAAGCAGATGTCATTTTGGACTTATACAAGAACAGTTTACTATATGTTTGTTTTGAGAAGCAGTGAGTACAATTTTACAGTTTGGACTTTCATAAGATATATACTTAAAGACTTTGGACTATTGATTAAGAATGATACCCTGTGTTCTCAACACGGAGAAACTACATCCTATCTATAAATGAACTTTAATTAAAAACGTGCCTGTATGGCAAATTAATACAAGATGTTTGAGAGGAAACAACATATGTTATTTTTCAATGTAGACTTTGTTAGACTTTCTAAGAAGTTTCAAGGAAAATTATATGTTTTGGGCAACTGAAGTTTCAATTTCAAAGAAACATTTTAAAACCAAATATATTTTTATGCAGTGACATGTCTTTGTCCATGGCAGTTTAAAGATATGGTTTATCAGTTTAACAGCTGATTAACCTGTATGCCCTTACATGAATGCTTGCGAATATTTATTTATTTATTTAACCCGCCTTCTCTCACCCTGAAGGGGACTCAGAGCGGCTTACAAGTTATATGTACATACAATATATTATTTATTTATTTATTTATTTATGACATTTATATGCTGTCCTTCTCACCTCAAAGGGGACTCAGAGCGGCTTACAAGTCATATCTACATAAAACATACTATATTATTAGCATAATACTAATACATCATTCACAATATTAGTATTATATAATATTATATTGTTGCAGGGCAAGGGACTCTGATGTCGCAGGAGACAAGATGGAACTGTCTTCTCTGCTCCTTTCTTCACTCTGGCTCCCTACCTTCCCCTTCCCCTGGAAAAAAAATGGTAGTATGTTTGTTTCCCGATCCAGCAATTCAAGAATACATTAGTTTGCTGAGATGTTCTGCGGTATACCCCAGAATATTATATTATTATTATTAACATTGTATTATTAGCATAGCACAATATTAACAGTATAATTATATTGTACTATACCACTATAATGCAATATTATTACTAATATTACATGTATAATATGTAATTATCATATTATATTGAATTAATATTAGTATTATTTTGTATTACATTATATTATGATCAATTTTATATGTACATACATGTGCTATTAGCATAGCACAATATTAGTATTATATATTACTATATTGTACTATACCACTCTACTACAATATTATTATAAATATTACATGTAATATATAAATGTGTATTATATATAATGATATAATATTATATGTAATATATAATTGTGATGCTCTTTCACCATGCTGAGGTAGAGAGTATAAGAGCAAAGGCTGAAAACGTATAATAAAAAACTTATCAGTATTACCTTGTAATAACTGCTGAATGCTTTCATTTCCCATCTGTGAAGCTGTGAAACCCTGCAGTGACATAATTGAGGGATCACAGCCAGAGCTCAACAACAGCCGGCATGTCTGTAGATGGCCACAGTGTGCTGCTCTATGGAGAGATGTCTGGCCAAGATTATCCAAAGCGTTGACCTGGAAATTATAAGACAATTTTAAGAACCCCTTTCCCCCAAAAAAATGAGACTAGAGAACACAGTATATCCTTTTTCTTTAGAAGTATCTGTACTTATGATGTTAAGTTTCCAGAATTGCCATTTTTTTATAACTATTTTTTTATTCAAAGAAACAAACCTACAATCAAATGAAGACAAATAAAGACAGATTTTGCAGGACACTGTGCAACAGATGTCCTGTTTATGCAACAGATATTTGTATGTGTGATTCTGAAGCCCACAAAACCCCACAGAATAAGACACTCATTACGCACCTTTGCTTCATGTTTCACAAGTACTTCTATAACATCATTATGAGCTTTTTCTGAGGCAACATGGAGAGGTGTCAGGAAGCTTTATAAAAAAATAAAAACAAAAGTTGATTACAGTTGTTATGCTGTTTTTGTAGATGCAGTGGTCAAAATCCAGTATGGCTGGTCAGCATTCACTAGTCTCATGGGACTTTAAGATGTCTCCAGGCAGAGCGATAGATAGATAGGCCCTAACTTTCCTATACAGAAATGTAATTCTTTCAATAAAGTTTTTTGTAACTTTTAACTCTGCTCCTGTAATTGCTGAGGCTCATTCACTATGCTCAAGAAACTTCTAAGAGGCTAAAACTGCTGCTGTTGCTAATTTACATTTTTAAGAGCTTTTTCCTTTCTGAAGCTTTGATGATTTTTGAATATAGACAGGCAAAAAAATGTGAAATGGAAACTCACTCCTTTGTCTTCTCATTGATATTGGCTCCTTTTCGTAGAAGTAGCTCACAAACTTGTTTTCTTTTGGGATACGGTGAGGCAGCAGCACAGTGCTATAATAATAAAGAAAACTTATTATTTGCTGATCGGATTTGCAAAAGTGAAGTAAGACTGGTAAACTACTCTGTTTAATTCAACAACCATACTAATTTCATTCATAATATGCATAGCAAAAACAAAACTTTACCAAGGCAGTTTCATGAGTCTGAGGATGTTTGAAGTTTATAATCTCAAGAGAAATATGTTTTTTTACTCGAGCTACATCCGATTCTCTTGCAGCTTGTAACAATGAATGTCCCTTGAATTCATCTGGAAGAGAACATAAGTTTTATAGGATCACTATCATGAAATATTTTGGTTCTTTTCATTTTGGTAGACAGCTTTCCAACAAGCACACACATAATTTCCTATTAGCATGTATATTCCCAAAACTATACAGTACATACAGGAGACAGGTTGTTTTCAGAAAGAGAGTTAATCCCTTTGTGTTAAGATAGTTTTCTTCATTAATGTTTGATGAGAATATTTTTGCTTAAATATTTTCATTATAGAATCACAGAATTGGAAGTGACCTTGTGGGCCATCCAGTCCAACCTCCTGGCAAGAAGCAGGAAAATCGTATTCAAAGCATCCCCCACAGATGGCCATCCAGCCTCTATATAAGAGCCTCCATCACTCCTGGGCAGAGAGTTCCACTGCTGAACAGCTCTCATGGTTAGGAAATTCTTCCTAATGTTCAGGTGGAATCTCCTTTCCTATAGTTTGAAGCCTTTGTTCCGCGTCCTAGTCTCCAGGGCAGCCGGAATGTTTTTCAGAATGTTGTGTTTCACTCTATTTTACAAACATCCAACTTACAAACAACTTATAGTTATAGTTATAGACATCAGGAAGTGAGAGAAATCTACCCTTCAGAAGGAAACTCACTTCTGAAAAAAGTCATTCATGGGGAAAAGTGGTCTCCACTGAAGTTTTTATACCATTCCTTGTTTCTACAATAAGCCAATTTTTTAAAAATCCAATAATCACAGGGACAGAAACTGAGGTGAAATCTTATGAACAGGGACACAGACAGCAAAACAAACACCACAGAGGTGTTAACCCTTCCCTATGCTATCCAAAGCGCTCTCTCTCTCCTTCTCTCTCTCTATATATTTGGCTGGAGTTACAGTTTCAATCCCACTGATGCACTTTTAATTGGGTTTTCATTTGTTATATTTATGAATTGTATTTTTTTGTTAAAATGATATTATTATTATTATTATTATTATTAGCTTTTTTCTATTAGCAAATATAAATGTAATAATAAAGAAAATATGCCCTGTACTCACACGCCAGTCGTTCTTTTAGCTGAGGTGTTGGGGCCAAATCAATTGTACTTTTGTTATGGCAGTTCAATAATGTGGGATCAGCACCATAGCTCAGCAAGAGAGAACATACTTCCACTCTATTCTTAGAAGCTGCTTCATGCAGAGGAGTGAATTGCCACAGATCCATTGCATTTACACAGGCCCCATGCTAGGAGAGGAAAGAAAAACACATATTATTCCTTCCTAGATAATACTACAGATTGTTGTGGCAAAAGAATGTTCCACTTAAGGTTGTGATTGAAACTCTCAGTTAAGTACACATCAGAAAGCACTCCAATCTTTTTCTAGAAAAACACACAATTGTATGACGAAAAAACACATATATATTCAACTGAAAGAAACAGAGGGATGTATCTAGACATGGATTTCTACATCTAAGACCAGTATTTTGGAAACCATATTGTTTCACCTCATGCACAATCAGTTTTCTAAAATGGGAGGTGAATTATATATGGTACATTTACACCCAGTTTGCAAATGAAAAATTTAGCTGGGTAGCAAATAATTGTCAAATGCCTCTAAACATAGTGTAAGCAGAAAATGAAATAAAATCACAACAGTGTTCCCATAAAATAGCACACATTCATGAGACTAACCTTTACTAAAAGTTCTGTTACTTCATAATGACCATAGGAGCAAGCATTGTGAAGAGGCACCAGATCGCTGAAAAAGAACAACAAATCTTAGAACCTAAGTTCATACAAGAAATCCAAATATGATCAAGGCCCATTTCCCATTTGTATCAACTAAAAATACGAAATTGCCATCTGATAACACATCCAGAAACTAGACACTTCAGTGAAAACATAGTCTTCATTTGGCTCAATGATAGTATATAACTGGATGTGGGTTTTTTTCAGATGGAGAACACACTTTTGTGAAGGTCAGCTATAACACTGAAGTCCTACCAAAGTGAATGAATAATCCTATTACTTACTTCTTAACCTGGGGAGCTTTAATCGGGGTTAATCCAATTAAGAACCAAATAGCTGATACTGAATACAATTTGGAACATGGTAAAATGAACTACTTGCTGCTGATCAGGCTGTTAATGAAGATGGCATACTGCATATGCTCATATATAAGTAGACTTCATGCAGAAGTCAAGGGTGGGTTTTGAGGGCTTTTTGATATGACCCATGGATAAGATAAGGGTCATTCCGAAAAGAAGGGAAAGCACCCATGCCGCCTTAGGGAGTCAGCCATCTGTGGCCACTATCACAATTTCCCGCCAAAACATTTCAAAAAGTCCAGAAATAGTTTCACAGCATAAAGCATAAAAGGGGCTGGTATTTCTTTTAGGTTCTTGTGGGACAGACAAAGCTCTTGTCATTCACCACTCTATTCAGAGAAGGGTGGTTCCTTTTCTGGTAAGAATACTACACTGACCTGTGAATAAGCTGAACCAGGTTTTTTGGAGTTGCTGTTTACTACAGTTTCTAGGTTTATACATGAGTATATAGGGAAATCATTTCAAAACCTATTGACTGAAAAACAAATACAGTAATACCTTAGAAACACAAAATGCTGGAAGAAGAATGCAAATAAACACTAGTATGAGTTACAATGCTTTTCTTGTTTAACTGGAAGTTTCATTAGAGAATCTGATAAAGAACTTTTAAAAAGCCACACACACACAGTTGAAAAGGCCTGTTCTTGATAGTACAAATTGAAACATGTCCATTTTTGATATAAAACATTAATTTTATTTTAACAGAAAACATTTCTAGCACTCACCCTTTATCCTTTGCATGTACATCTGCTCCATGCTGCAACAGAAGCTGAACAATCTTAACACGATTATAACCTGCCGCTAAGTGTAGTGGAGTTGACTGGAAATAAAGTAATAATTACATATTACATATAAGATAAAAATGTGAAAAAAAATCAGAAGTCATTTTTTTTTATTTTTTAAAAACTTCCTAAAAATTGTTAGTATTATATATCAGTATTCACTGGGGTTTCGTTCCAAGATCACCCATACATACCAAATTCTGTGATTGCTCAAATCCAATTATATACAAAGGAGGTGTAAAATAGTGTCCCCTATATAAAATGTCACACAACTCAAATGAATGCCAGAGAGCGAGCACTATGAAATAGCAGGAAGCTAGAGATGCCTACACATCAGCAAAATTAGGTTTTGCTTGAATCTATGGATGCAGAACCCATGGATACAGAGTGCCAATCCTACCTCATTTATTTGTCCCTGAACAGACTCAGAAGTGAAGTTAGCAGCTCAAAAGACAACCTGGCAAAATGGCATTACCTAGAATAATCTTCCACCTTGTGTAACTGTGGAGCAGAACAAACAACTCAGCATCTGTATGCTTGCCCACAATGCAGTGCCTCATGCACAGAGGAAGAACTGTTAAAGTTATAGACAATGCAGTCGCTGTTGCCTGTTTTTGATCTAAAACTATCCCTTTATTTTATCAATTTTAGATAAACTATTTCATCAGTTTTAGATAAACTATTTTATGCAATGCTTTTCACATGAAATAAATAAATAAAACTCATCTATATATATGTAAGATTTTAATAAGCAACATGGAAGCTCTAAACTCAACTTGTTTTTGTTCTCTCTTCTCTAGAATATTAGTAATTCAACTGACATTAATGTTTCTCCTAAAGATTTCAGTGGGAATTTCCATAGGATTACAATGGTTGCATGGAGAGCAAGGGAATCAGAAAATGTATTGGTAGCCAGATTTTGTTCATTTTCATGGTTTCTGTGTCAGACTACACAGAGAAGCCATTGAAATCCATAAGCATGTGGACAATTTCAACAGAAAGGAGGAAACCATGAAAATGAACAAAATCTGGCTACCAGTATTAAAAACGCTAAAATTGCAACAGCAAAACAACAGAGAGGAAACAATCAGGGACAGCTAATCGCCTCTTAACAAAAGATTCCCCACACCAAAAAACTGCCAGGCCATCAAATGCTAATCAAGCTGATCAGTTGAAACATTCACACCTAGCTCCAGCAGACAAGGGTTCTTTGTCCCGCCCTGGTCATTCCACAGATATATAAACCAATTTTCCTAGTTCCAACAGACCTCACTACCTCTGAGGATGCTTGCCATAGATGTTGTCGAAACGTCAGGAGAGAATGCCTCTAGAACATGGTCATATAGCCCAAAAAAACCTACAACAACTCAGGAATCAGAAAAATTCACCACACACCCTTCCTTCAGCAGGATCTCCCCATGGAGAAAATAACACTTTCTATTTGCATTAAGTGAAATCTGAATTTATTCTATTTGCAGTAAGTGAAATCAGAATCAACTAAAATATCAAGGAGGTGTTTCACCATTTAATATGAGATACATTTGATTAAAACACAGAACGAAAAGCATTTATTCTTTAATCTTCTCCACATAAACCCCAGGGCAAAAATTACGGCACTTTGCTCTCAAAACACATTCACATTTTATATATTTGCAAAATAGTGTATGAGAAACAATGGGTAAGAGATATACACATTTTAACAACATAAATGTAACTTTTAAGTTATTAATACTGCTAGGTAACATGAAAGATTATTTAAATAATGCAACACAATTACTGATATAATATAAGCATTATGCAATGCATATCTTTTGCAAAAAGAAAATCCATAGTGATGTTTTTGCTATCTGAATTTCAGGAAAACATTATTTTAAATGAAGTGTTCTAAAATAAACCTACTGCTTTTTCTCATAAAAGTAGATTTTTATATCTTATATAATTCCTGAATGGAAATACAATTCAGACAACAACCTGAAAGAACAAAAATAAACCAATTCAATAACATTATCAACATTATTTTGATGTATTTTGAATTTGAACATTTAAGATGTCCATTTAAAAAAAATTGCTTTAAATACCTTTCTGCCGTCACTTGCATGACAATTGACATTTAGCGGTGTGAGCAAAGCCATTAATTTTTCTTCATTTCCACTCCTAGAAAGTAATTAACATTTCTGAACAGCCTGCAAGTATATTTCTTTATTCACTATATATAATATTGCAAATCAAGCACCTCTACTTAATGCTTAGCTATTAAAATACAAGCTTTAGGGTTGATTTTATTAATGTAAACAGGAAAGTCTTCTAATAAAAGCATAATTAATTACGAGTTGTCAACCACAAACCTAATGGTAATTTGTGATACAAAGGCTAAAGTTGCAGTTCTAGAGTCATTCACAGAAAAGTGAAGGAAATCTGACTCAGTTGTACATATTTCTCAATAGAAATTTGCTAGATTCCACTGAAAGAACCAAGGACATTCAGCAAATGGGTTGTTGTAGGTTTTTGGGGCTATATGGCCATGGTCTAGAGGCATTCTCTCCTGACGTTTTGCCTGCATCTATGGCAAGCATCCTCAGAGGTAGTGAGGATGCACTACCTCTGAGGATGCTTGCCATAGATGCAGGTGAAACGTCAGGAGAGAATGCCTCTAGACCATGGCCATATAGCCCCAAAAAACCTAGAACAACCCAGTGATTCCAGCCATGTAAGCCTTCGACAATTCAGCAAATGTTTGTCTATCAGTGGTTAGTGAAAGCCTCAGATACCTTCACACACTGGTCTTTTGCACAGAATTAATGGAAAAGTAACTGTTTTTAATGTTGGGATTGCAATCCACAACATCCAATAATCCTCATACACAGAAATAACACAAACCATATTCAGAAAAAGCTCAGATTGTAAACATCAATGAAAAAAGAGGCTACTTACACTGCTTGCAAATCTGCTTTCAATTTTCTATTAATACTTAAGAACTATTTAAAGACATTATTCAACTGTTTTCCATGTATGGAGAAGCTGTCAGAGATTCTATGCTGCTTTCGCCCTGTCCCACATCTCTGTGGACTGATACATATATATTAACCTTGGAAAAATGTGACCAGCAGTAGCCTTTGCCAGCATCTTCTCCAGATACAGAACAGCTCAATAGGGCTATGTCATGCTTTTCATACTGACAGTTGATAGTACATAGAATCAAAATGTCAGCATAAACATTCATTGACAAATGAAATCTGTTATGAAAATGACCGTCAGATGCTTATTTTCTCAGCAATGTTGAAAAATAAAGTTTGCTATACTGTGTCAGGGTCATAGCAACAGGTTTTAACCATATTAACAGCCTTCTAATCTGTAACCACCCACATCAGAATAAACTCTTTTATTCTTAATATTAACTCGAAAAATTACTGCTCCATTTTCTCCCCTGAACACTGAAAAAGGACAGCTTTAATATTGCTTTTACTGTTACCACCTACCTGGCGCTTTCCAAGAGTTCATCTTTCTTGTATTCACCTGAAAGTTATCAAAGTAAATATTATTATTTTCGTATCTCAAATTTACATATTTAAATATCTATGAACGATAATAAGTTAGTAAGTGATCATGCAACCCAAATTCCGTTTATCAAGCTACCAAGCATTAAGGGAAAGCAAGAAAATTTCTGTCAAAAGAGTAATAATCAATTATATATACAGTACAATTACAAGCAGTACAGAGGGCAAATGTGAAAATTAATTACTGAAAGTTATTTATTTAATTTCCATGATGCCATAGGTAATGTTTGAAATGTTAAAATATTATCTATGATATCAAGATAGAATAAACATTCCTATTATGTTTCTTTTAGAATTAGAAGTAGGCAATTTGAACAGTTTTATAAAGTAATACAAAAGTATGTATGCTTTCCTATGCCTATTGTCTTCATGATTTTGTTTTTCACCAGCATTAAAGCAATACCAACCCGGACAATGAATTATACCCCCAACATCTAACTTTTAGTGTTTATTACAAATATGCAAGGACAATTATACTGATCAATACTGGAAATTGAAATAATAATAATAATAATAATAATAATAATAATAATAATAATAATTTTATGTCAAAAGTGACTTCAGAAACTGCAAGTTGCTTCTGGTGTGAGAGAACTGGCCTTCTGCAGGGATGTTGTCCAGGAAATGCCCAGATATTTTACCCTCCTGTGGGAGGCTTCTCTCATGTCACCACAAGGGAAGCCGGAGCTGACAGATGGGAGCTCATCCATCACCCCGTCTCGCGGAATCGAATCGCTAAACTTCAGATCAGCTGTTCAACCAGCACAAGGGTTTAACCCAATGCACCACCGTGGCTCCATAACAACAACAACAACAACAACAACAATTTTATGTTTATATCCCGCCACCATCTTCCTGATGGGACTCAGGGCAGCTTACACATGGGACAGAATGTCCACAAGACATAAAAGCAAAAAACAATCTATAAAACAACATACATTAAAATAAAGGCATCATAAAAAACAACAACCCAGATAAAACATACTAACATTACAAAGTATAAAACAGACTGCAATGGGATGGGCAAGGGATAGCGCAAACAGTGTACATAGGGCTGAGGAAGTGGATGAAGTGCAAAACAGAGTACTATCTGACAACCTAGGGACTAGGCTTATATCACTAGGGACTAATAATTCTCTAATGCTTTGTGGAACATCCAGGTTTTCAGATCCCTGTGGAAGGAGGACAGTGTTCCAAAGTTGGGGGCACATCACCGAGAAGGCTCTCTGCTTTGTACCCACCTGCTGTGTTTGCAACAGTGGTGGAGGCGAGGAGGGTTTCCCAGCAGATTTTAGAGCCCGCAGTGGTTCATAGGAGGAGATGTGATCATGAAGATAGGCAGGGCCTGAGCTGTTTAGGGCTTTGTAGGTCATAACCTGCACCCTGAATTGGGATTCGAAACCTATCAGCAGCCAGTGGAGCTGCTTTAATAGGGGGTCGTACGCTCCTATTAAAGCAGGACATATATAATCCAGAAAACTATAATTAAATTGGATGAAAAATTTAAAGACTGATACTTGAGGTTTTCTGTATCAGTTTTGATGTGTGTGTAGAATCAGAAAAGAATATGCAGGTTCAAGTTCTTACACACCACAGTCATCTTATGCTTATCAGATCTCAAAGGGAAAAAAAAACACAATAGGTGTTAGCCAGAGCATATTTAAAAACAAAAGATTTAAACTACCTGTAAGTACTGCTTTTGCTGATGGGTCTGCTAGGTCTAGTGCTGTTCTCCCATCTGTATTACGAATGGCTGGATCAGCACCATGTTGCAGCAGCACTAAAAAAAAATGATGGTATTTAAAATAATGCAGCCTGAAATTTAAGCTTAAGTAAAGATACAATTATCTTACCAGGACACCCACCCCACCCTCAAGTAACTCAGAAAAACATCATACCCATTCCTTTGGATTTATCTTCACATTAACCAAAGTATTTAACAATTGAACTTTTCGTGTATTTTAAAGATTCGGTGCAATGGGTTAAAATCTGCGTGGGAAATTAAAGCATATTTTCAGGGCAGAGCAGAACTGAACAAAAAATATAATTAAATGTGAATACAAAATCGGCCCGGGAATAGAACCAACCCAGAAATGATGCCAATGAACCTGCATACTTTTTCTCACAGCTCCTACGTTACCTATCAGAGCAACAACAATCCCTATCCTTACATATGCTATGTTATCACTAGTTCCTTGGTACAAACCCTCTTTGAAACCAGAACCTTGGCAAGAATTTAATGAGAGCTTTAAGTAATTTTCTTGCTACAGCTGTAGTTTGAGAACTGAATATGGACATATTCCATTCTAGGTAATAGGTGGTTTGTTGTAATGCAAATATCTTCCAAGGAAATAGAGAGGCACCATTAAGCCATATGAATGATGCTTCTGTCCCTACCCAGATTGACTGTATCCTAAATCAATTAGATTATTTTTATATTACAAACAACTCTGTTAACTTCCCAACAGAAACCACATAATAGTATTAATGTGCAATGCATATGAAAACAGAATTTTAAACAACTCTGTCATTCAGGAAAACATAATTACATGTGTTTTGAGATCTTTTAATCAAGAACAGTGAATGCTTTCAGTTTTCACAAGACTTGCATAGCTGCAAAGCTTAATTTTTAATGAAAAAACAGGTCATTTAATAATTTTCTGTACAAATTACTGGATAAAAGATTTGAGATAGCTACCTATGCAGACATCAATTTTTCCCTTAATGGCAGATTCATGAAGAGGAGTATAGTTCCAATTGTCCCGGGAATTAGGATCTGCACCATGGCGCAGGAGAAGATTAACAACTTCCGCATGACCAAAGGAGCAGGCATTATGGAGTGGAATGAGTCCGCCGTCATCTCGCGCATGAACATTAGCACCACTCTGAAGCAAATATTCCACTACATCCCTTCGACCAAAACCTGAAACAAGTAAGTAGTTTGATAAAATAATTTATTAAAAAGGGAGCTAGAAGAAACAACCAAACCCACCAATTCCTGATATGATTCCAAAAATGCTGTAACTAGTTAAGATTCCTGATACTGGGCCAACAAACAAAATAAAAGGCTAATGTGGAATACGATGTTTCTCCTACTTCAGAAAAAAGGCCCCATAGGAACACTCATCTTCCCCACATCCATTTAGAAATAAAAATATAGATGATGCTATTGTAGAGGACATTATCATTTTGTTCAACCCATCGGGGCAATTTGTCCTTTCAGCCACTGTTCTGTTCCCCAGTCTCTTGAACCCAACCTGCTATGCTGTATCTTTGAACAAAGAACATACTGAGAAATGGGCAGCTATAAATAGCAAAACCTGAATACATTTCATGCTGACTCTTTTTCTTCATGTCCATAACGTCTCCCCCATATGATTCAGCTTTACATTGAACTTATGGATATGTCCTGCAAAATGCAAAGTCAGGGCTTTATAAGCTTAATGATACTAATTTGTTTTGTTGTTTCCTCTTTCTGAGAGCTGCTTATCCTCCATAGAAGTAAAGACTTTTTGATCATTGAGATATCCCTGTCTTTAGATAGCTGGCAATGGGCCAAAACTGAATAATGCATGTCACAGAGTACCAAATGTGTATAGCAAAGCTTCCCTAGAAGTGTCACATCAAAATGCTCCCCCCCCCCCGCCCCCCAACCCAATCCCACCAAATGCTCCTTCACCCCTCTAAATGCTTCCTCACATCCTCCTCCCCAAAAGAGAAACCTCTCAGTCTGGGGAAATAATACACTTGGAGCCAAGTCAGGTGGGGAAGTGTCCAGAACAGTTGAAGGACGCTGCTCCAGACTCCACTGCATCTCATTAAAATAGTAAATAGTTCATGTATATCTTGGACATATTTACATGTTGTTACTCATGAATGACAAACATCTTGGAAATGTATGCTATTAACTTGCAAATCATTTATTTTAAAATATAAAAAATGTTTTCATGAGATATGTTGTGTCCCCATACAGTCCGTTATTGCAATTTATGTATGTGTCCATATTTCTTATAAGGGGTTGGTTTAAACTCCAGTTTGCTAGTAAAACTGAATTATCATGTCCCCAAATGATGCAAATCTAAAAAGTATGTCATCAACATGGAAAGTTTGGAAAGCTTTCTATAGGCTGCAGATGAATTGTTCTGAAAAAAAATGGCTAAGAGTAAAGTTTGGTTATTTGAGTTCATGTTATTGCAAAAGCAACCAACTCTTTGTGAACCTTTTATTGGTTCTTTAGTAAAGAAATTAATTGAGAAACTAGGACTGTTACAGATCTGAAGACGACCATTTTACTCATGCACTGGACTACTTGGCAAACAGGTTTAAAAAGTTTTTGAAGGAAATTATGCACAACATGCCTATTCTTTGCCACACACAAAAGCAACGTTTAGATTATCATGCATCCAAGTTAGGAATTATTCAGATGCTAAAATGTTTGTTTGGACAACTCTCAGAACCCCCTGCCAGCAGGGCAAATTTTCCAAACTCTGCATTTATTATATTTTATATAAAAGTTTATAACAACATATGGATGGTGGTAAACAAATGTTAACTTCAAGCCTGCCCTATCTCATGCCATAAAAACCATCCTCACTATTTAAAAGAAGGAAATAATCTACAATGCTGGAACTTTCATGAGTCAAGGTTCAGTTTGGAATATGCTGGAGTGAGGAATCTTCGGATTCCGTCAACAAAACTTGGATTGGCCATATTAGAGCAGATAGTAACTCATAGAAGATTCAGCAAGTATATTTTAAGTACTGCAACTTGATAAAATAACAGAAAAACAGAATTTTTAAAAGCTATGCAATTCCATGACTTTTGCATGTTTTAACTTTTGCATTTGAAGATGGTTGGGAAGCTTCAGTAAGTGCAAAGATCCGCAGCCATACTGCTGACTTGGATGGATTGCAGGAAAATATACTACCTCCTCTTAAAGCAGCTCCATTGGTTGCCAATCTGCTTCTGGGCCCAATTCAAAGTGCAGGTTAACAGTTTTTGTGTGGTAACAGTTTTTGTTTTAAGTTGATATGTTTTAATTATGTGATTTTAAAGTATATGTTGTTTAATTTTTATATGTATTCAAGGTGTTGAATAATGCCTTTGTTGTGAGCTGCCTTGAGTCCCCTTCAGGGTGAGAAGGGTGGGATATAAATGCTGTAAATAAATAAAAATAAACCACCTCTCTTTCAAATTATTTCCAACTCTCTCACCAACTATCTCTCTCTTAAATCAAGTTACTTAACCTAGCAGAACTTGATTTAAAATATGTGAATTTACAATATGCTATATACCTTTAACAGACAGTATCTACAGTGATCTAATAGTGATTTGCTGCACAGCATAACTAGTTCTTAGAAACTGTTCTGACCAAATTCAGAGGAGTTTACACACTTTAAATTCTATATTAGATAGCATTTGTTGCTGTTACATGCTAGGGATGCAATTCTTCATTAATTTTATACTCGACAGAAGCAACAAGTAATTACATATATATCTTCCATGGGCAAAAATTTATACAAATACTGGGTTGTTGTAGGTTTTTCCGGGCTTTATGGCCATGTTCTAGAGGCATTTTCTCCTGACGTTTTGCCTGCATCTATGGCAAGCATCCTCAGAGATAGTGAGGTCACCTCACTACCTCTGAGGATGCTTGCCATAGATGCAGGCGAAACGTCAGGAGAAAATGCCTCTAGAACATGGCCATATAGCCCAGAAAAACCTACAACAACCCAGTGATTCCGGCCATGAAAGCCTTCGACAATACATTATATAAATACTATTTTTAAAATTACAGGATGAACATCCTCTCTGCGTAATTCAAAAATCAATAATCTGAAATTATTCACATGCATGATTGAGTTAGTGACACAGTCATATCTACCTGGGCTGGCATTTGGAGAGATGGATCCAGGAGCACTCCCAAGCTGCAAACACAGTCTTTTAGAGGGAGTGTAACTCCATCCAGAATTGGTTGACACACCTCTGTTTTATCTGGATTCAGATTCCCCATCTAGCCCTTTACCTCCTCCAGGCATTCATGCATTCTTAAGTTGAATTTGTATGTAAGTCGGAACAGGTACTGTACAATTTTTAAGTTTAACTCTAGTCAAAAATATTCATTTCCTAGTTTTGGATAGCATAGGGAAGGGTTAATACCTTTGTCCGGAAAGTTGTTTGTTTTGCTGTCTGTGCCCCTATTCAGAAGATTTCACTTCATTTTATGTCCCTGTGATTATTGGATTTTGAAAAAAAATTGACTTGTTGTGGAAACAAGGATTGGTGATAAAGCTTCAGTGGAGACACCTTTTCCCCACAGAACTCTCTTCTTCCCAGGAAGCCAGAATGGCCCCCTACCGGCTGTCCTTCTGGAGGCAGGTTAAAGCCTTTTAATTTAGGCAGGCTTTTAAATAAGGTTTTATTTAAAACCTTCAGGGGCTGCTGTAATTTTATATGCTTTTAATGATGTTCAAAAGTGTTTTAATACTTGTATATGTTAAAGTTGCATTGCAATGCTTTTAGTTGTGAGCTGCTTTGTGTCTCCGTATGGAGAGAAAAATGATATAAATAAACATAATAAACATAATAATAAACATAATAATAATAATAATAATAATAATAATAATAATAGCTCACAGGATTCCTTAGCATTGACCCAAGACGGTTCAAGTGGGGTCAAGCTGCATGCAGATGATGCCCAACTCTACTACTCCTTTCCACCTGATTCCACGGAAGCAGACCTTCCCCTGAACTGTTATCTGAGGACAGTGATGGACTGGATGAGGGTGAACAAGCTGAAATTCAATCCAGACAAGACCAAGGCACTGCTGGTCTCAAGGAAGATGGATCCAGGAACTGGATTACAACCTGAGCTGGATGGGGTTACACTTCACCTGAAATCTCAGGTGCGCAGTTTGAGGGTCCTCCTGGACTCCGCCTTAAACCTAGAGGCCCAGGTGGCAGTGGTGTCTAGGTTGGCCTTTGCATAATTAAAGCTTGTGTACCAAATGCGCCCATTCCTGGAGGAAGATGACCTAGCCACAGTAGTATGCGTAATGGTTACACCCAGACTGGACTATTGCAACGCGCTTTACATAGGCCTGTCTTTGAAAAGTGTTTGGAAACTACAGTTCATACAAAGACCTGCAGTCAGGCTGGTAATGGGGAGCTGGTATCAGGAAGTACACTGCACTGCTCCTGAGACAGCTCCACTGGCTGCCTATCCGTTTCCAGGCCAATTCAAGGTGCTGGTTCTCACCTATAAAGTCTTATATGGCTTTGGTCCAGCCTACCAGGAACATCGTGCGTTCCTTTATGCTCCTGGTCAAGAGTTGAGATCCAGCAAGAAGACCCTAATTGCTACTCGGCCCCATTCAAAAATGTGTTTACAGAAAATGTTAGAAGGCTTATCCTCTGGGGCCGCTCCAGTACTGTGGAACTCCCTCTTGGAGGAACTAAGATCAGCCCCATCCCTCCTAAGCTTCAGGAAGGGGGTAAAGATCTTGCTTTTCAAGACCTTTGAATAAGACACGTGCCATAGGAATGGGTTGAGTTTAAAAATGTATGACTATTAATTGAGGGGCTGATATGGGGGAGGTGGAAGTTGTATGTGTGTTTTTTAGTATGTTTTAACTTTTGCATTTGAAGATGGTCAAGAAGCTTCAATTAGTGCAAAGATTGCAGGAAATATATTACCCCTCTCTTAAAGTAGCTATGTTGGTTGCCAATCTGCTTCCGGGCCCAATTCAAAGTGCAGATTGAGCCCTATATGACAACAACAACAACCACAACTTTATTTATACTCCGCCACCATCTCCCCAAAGTGGACTCGGGGATGCTAACATGAGGCCAATCCCAAAAACAATACAGCAAAGTTAGACACAAAACAACAGAAAAATTACATTGCAACAAAATACATAAAGT